CAATCAGTATTTAAAGAAGCGACAAATAACTGATTTGCGATACTCGTTCCTCTTTCAACAAACCAAGCATTACAACCATCTCTTTTTTTTCAACCCAACCCTTCCCACTACATATTATAGTCTTCTGATTCTGCCATTTTCCTATTTAATAGCCGGCCTGCTTTGAGCAGGCAGGAAACCACCGGCTGATGCTGCTTAATTACTCAGCTCAAATTACGTAGCTCAAATTACTCACAATGTATTCTGCAGACTTAAAGTCCCTTAATTGAATTTATTTTCAGCACTTTTGGCATACCAGCATTATTCCAATAACATGACTATTCGTACTATGCTTTTTGAATAAAATATTAATTTTTTTTAGTTGGTTAGAAATTTGTTAATAAGTAAATTAAACAAAAGTTATCAGCAAATTTTTCTTATAGTAATAGGATTTTACTTATGTGCATAAAGATAAAAGTATAGGATTAGCTTATTTTTAATATGTATAAGAATTGATGGTTTTATAGTTCAAGTATTTTTTCTCGTGTTTTTTGATCAGCCATTTTTTTTAGAAGTTTGTATTACTTGCATGCTGGATATATATTATTGTAGTACAAAAATATAATTTAATCTATAGTTTTATCGTTAGTATTAGTATTAGTATTTTTAGATAGTTTGCTTTTAAACAAATATGCTTCATGAAGGAATGAGTTTTAGCAATTAGAATATAGTATTAAAAACTATTAGTACATTTGTTAAACAAAATGGATTCGCATTTAAAAAAGAACGTGTAGAACATTATTCTGATAGCATAGTAAAAAAAAGAACCTTAAGTTGTAAGCATACAGGAAAATATAACCAAAAAATGAAGCAAAGTCTAAACAAATAGGATGCGTATAGCATTTAAATCTTTTACAATCAGCAAAAAATAATTTGCTTAACTCTGTTTATATTACAACCTTTAATAATAAACATAATCATAAATTGTTACCAAAAAGGTTAGAGTTTATTAAAGCTAAAAAATTTACAGATAATATGGTTAAAAGAGTTTTATTTTATACAAAAGATATAGGTTTAAATCCTCGTAGTATTAAACGGGCATTAGAAAAAGAATTTCCAGATTATTCTATTTACACTCAAGATCTTTATTTAATACTTCAACAATATCATCTTATTCGAAAATCAGAACTTGTGAATAATGCTTTTTTATTATATGATGAGTTAATGAAAAAAAAGAGCAATATTTAGAATAGTATGTTGCTATAGAATGAAACAAACAATCATGATCATTGCAAAGACTTTTTTGGATGGATCTGAGCCAAATTATTCTTTGGTTAAAATATTGTGATGTAGTTCTTAATGATAATACTTCACAAACAAATCGGTATGAGATTGCAGAAGCTCACAAATGGATTTTTAAACAAATTAAAAAAGCAACAAATAATGCAATTCCAAAAGTAATTATAATGGATGCAGATCCTGCTTTAGATGCAGCTATTGCTTAAGAATTTAGTACCACTTATGCATTGTATATTCCATATAAGCTAAAATCTTCCATATAATCTTCAAAACTGTCTTTGTGAAAAATTTTTTGAATTTATAAAAAAATTTCATGTTATACAAAATAGTTTAACAGTACCAGCATTTGAAACACGTTGGAAATGGCTATTAGAAAAATATAGTTATAGTGATCATGTTCAAAATTATCTTTAAAATACATTATATTCATCAAAAACATCATGGATAAAAGCCTATACTAACAAAGTTTTTACAGCAGGTATTCAATCAACATCACATGTAGAAAGCTATAATTCTGTAATTAAACGATCTATTTTTAATTCAAATACTAATTTTTTAGAACTTGCAGAAGTACTTGAAACTCAAATTTATAAGGAAGATGAAAATATACAGTATTTTTATTGGAAAACAAATATTCCAAATACCTTTGCAATTAAGGCATCTCAAGAACTATTTCCTGATATAGATGAATTACTTACTCGCTTTCTGTCACCTACTGTTTTAAAAATTCAACAAGATGAAATAAAAAAAGCCTTAATATATCAAGCTACTAAAGTTGATAATAATGAAATTCTACAATGGAATGAGGTATAAAATTTTTTTTTATATATATATATTCTGGTTTTGATCAACTCATCAACAATCACTTTAAAAATACTATATTTAAAGTACCGTATATTCCCGAAAATAAGCTACTATTTTTGGGCAAAAAATTATATGAAAATTTTGGGAGTAGCTTATTTTCGAGTAATAGAGATTTTTGACCATTTTTTTAAATAAACATAGTTTTTATATATAAAAAGGTAGTTCTATATATAAAAGTCAAAATTGTACCAAGTAAATCGGTAAGAGTAGCTTAATAAAAGTTGTTCAGAATTTAAAAATACATGTATTTTGAAAGTTTCATACAATTTGGATAATTTTTTATTAGTACACTTTTGCATTTTAAATTCAAATTTAAAATGCAAAAGTGTACTAATAAAATATTATCCAAATTGTATGAAACTTTCAGAATAGATGTATTTTTAAATTCTGAACAACTTTTATTAAGCTACTTTTACCGATTTACTTAGTACAATTTTGACTTATATATATATAAACTA